GGATGGAGGGGCGGCCCAGCCGCCCTTGCCCTCGGGCCTTCGGGGATGGGGGGAGTGCAGTGCTCGCGGCCGGACTGCCGTGGAACGCCCAGATGACGTCACTCTGACGTCACTGCATCGCGTGCGGCTTCGGCTGCAGGTCCTGGGGGAGCTCCTGCAGCCGGGGCAGCGGCTGATGGTGGCGAAAGGCGGCAAGGGCGGCAGCGGCGTGCGCGCGCCCAGCCGGGAGCAGCGGCAGAGGGAGCTGGCGCGGGAGATGAAGTATGCAAAGGTGGGTGCGCGAGGATACGTTCGAAGTGCGTTGGGTGATGTTTGGTAGATAACGCAATGTGCGGGGGAGGGGTTCATTCTGTTTGGTGGCGGTAGTGGAGGTTTGTGTTTGTCTGTGTGTAAGTTTGTCGTGTTTCGTATTCTGCGATGGGGGCTGGACTGGAGAGTTTTTGTCGCCCCTCGCACGCCGCCCCGCGGGCTGGGGTTTTGGCACGCTTTGCTTGGCGAGCGGGGGGAGGGCGGAGAACGCACGCGTCGCACCGGGGCGGGCGGAGGCGTGGGGCCGCTGGCAAACAACCGGCGCCCGCGCTCTCACACGCAAGCCACCCACCCCTGTCGGAGCGTAACCAGCGTGATCGCGACACCCCTCCCCCAACGCCCCGCCCCGCCCGCCGCCTTCACTGGTTTTTGCAGGAGTCTGGCGCCGAGGTGGTGTCTGTGGTGGACTCCAACTGGCAGCACGACGCCCGCGGCCTGCCTGGCCAGCAGTTGGGCCTCCAGCTTCTGCTGAGGGTGGTGGCAGACGTCGGCATCGTCGGCTTCCCAAATGCTGGTGAGGGCCGCAGTGTGTTGTTTGTTACGATATATGCCGCCGGCACAGCCCGCGGCCGGCGGCAGGGGGTTGCAACGCATGCCGCCGTCGGCCGCGGCCCCGCGCCGCCGCCGTCCAGCACTCGCCGGCAACGCCTTGCGCCCTATGCCGCCTCCCGCTGCCCCTCCGCACCCCGCAGGCAAGTCGTCCCTGCTCGCCTCCCTGACGCGCGCCAGCCCGGCCGTCGCGCCCTACCCCTTCACCACCCTCATGCCCAACCTCGGAGTCATGGCCGCCGGCCAGGGGCCCGTGCTGGCCGACCTGCCCGGCCTGATCGAGGGCGCCCACCAGGGGCGCGGCCTGGGCCGCATGTTTTTGCGGCACCTGCGGCGGACGCGCGCGCTGCTGCATGTGGTGGACGCGAGTGCGGAGGACCCGGCGACGGATTATTGGGCTGTAAGGTGTGGGGGGGGGGGCTGAGGGCGGGGGTGTGCTGACGCGAGGTGTGGGCATGAGTGTGCGTGTGGGTGTTCACTTGCAGAGCGTGTGGATGTGTGTTCATCTGTGTGTGTGTGTGTGTGTGTGTGTGTGCGCGCGAATGTGCGTGTGTGTGTGAGGGAAAGAAAAAGAGAAAGAGAGAGAGAGAGAGAGAGAGTGTATGTGTGTTTGTGTACTGCTCGGCATGTCTTGTGTCAGGTCGCAAGTTGCTGCCGGGCTCTGCATGAAGCGTCCTGCCGGCCTCAAGCCCCGACCCTGCTTGAGGCTCGTCACCACGCCCTCGACCCGTGCACTGCTCCCCACCGCAAGGCACCCCCACCCAAGTGAGACCCACCCAAACCCACCCAAAACCCGCCCCAAAACTCCAAGGGAGGAGCTGCGGATGTACAACCCGGACTACTGCAGCCGCCCCCACGTGGTGGCGCTCAACAAGATGGATCTGGAAGACGCGGGGGCGCTGCGCCAGGAGGTGGCCGCCGAGGTGGTGGCGGCCGCCGAGAAGCTGGCCGCCGAGCACGGCCGCGGCGCGATGCCGCCGCCGGCGGCGGTCGTCGCCGTCAGCGCGGCGAGCGGGGAGGGGCTGGGCGAGCTTGCCGCGGCGATCGCGCGGGCGCTCGGCGGCGAGCTCGGCGGCGGTGGCGGGGTCGAGGAGCGCGCTGAGTGGGCGGAGGAGGGGCGGCGCCGGGCGCGCGCGGCCGGCGGCGGCGGCGACGGTAGTGAGGTTGCGGGCGGCGAGCAGGGCCCGCAGGCAGGCGGGGATGAGGGAGAGGTGGAGTGGGCTGGGGAGGAGGGCGAGGAGGGGGAGGAGGGCGAAGATGAGTGGGACGAGGATACGCTGGCGGCGGCGGCGCGGTGGCAGGCAATCCTGGAGGCCGAAGCTGAGCAGCAGCAGCAGCCGCAGCAAAAGCAGCAGAAGCAGCAGCAGCAGAGCACGCAGCAAGGCAAGCAGCAGCAGCAGCGGCAGCAATTGACTGCAGCGGGGGGCGAGGAGGACGATGCTGATGAGGACGCCGAGGGTGTGGATGAGGTGGCGCCTGCTGATGACGAGGACATCTGGCTGCTCGAGCTGAGCGAGGCCGATCTGCTGAAGCTTGAGGTCGACTGATCTGGCATCACCTCATGGCATCCTGATGATCTTAATCTCTTGCGCTGCGCGCCTCACGCATGGGGGGCGCCCTGCCGCCCCTCGTGTATGTCAGAGGCTGCTGCTGATGGCGGCCTTGTCGTGCCTTCGCGCACGCACATCAGAGTGGACCCATTGTGTGTAAGCAACAAGTTGATGCCCTTGCCGCACGAGCCAGCATGACTTTACACGGCAGTCAAAGCCAGGCAGGCACAAAGGAAGCCAGGCCTTCATCTCCGCTTCTTCTTGCCCTGGCCGCCGCCGCCGCTGCTGCTGTTGCTGCCGCTGGAGGCCCCTCCGCCCCCTGCTGGCTGCTGCGCCTGCTGCATCGCCTGAGCCTGTGCGCCGCGTGTCCAGGAGCGACGGCCGCGGGTGGTGGGGGACAGATGAAAGAGGGGCCTGCGGCCAAAAGACCCCCAGACTCGCACCGCGCAACCCAGCAGCAACCTATTCAGATCAGGGGGCAGTCACTTGGGCCCGCCACCAGCATGAGGGTCGCCTCGCAGCGGCAGACAGCGGGGGTCCCAAACTCCCCTGACAGGGCGAGCGCCACCTGCGGCATCCCGCCGCAGTCCCCACCTTCTTTGTGAGACGCGTTGCCTCCGCGTTGAGCGGGTCCACAGGCCAGACGTGCTTAGGGTACCTGTGAGGCGGGGTGGTGGTGGTTGTGGTAGAGCGAGGGTGAGGTGAGCTGTGCCGTAGCTTGAGCGGCACAAGTACATGTGAGCCCAAGCGTAGCGATCTTCAATAATGAAGTTGACGAGGCCATTGCAGAGACACAGGTTGCAGCACCTTTGCACTCTCCTTTCCCCTTCCCCCTAAACCGCTGCTCACCTTCCAGCCATGTCCTTCCTGACATCTGAGTAAGAGGTTGCCCAGAACGACGCCAGGTCAGCAGTCACCTGGTGACAGCGGGTGGGTGAGTGATGCAACCAAGCAAGGGCGTCCGTACCCTCGTCAGAGGGGGGGCTGTTGGGGTCAAGGACAGGGCTTCGAAACAACGGCGTGTCTTGCATGCACGCCGCACGCGATCACCAAAACATACAGCCCGAGCGATGCAGGTCGAGGGTAGGCGTGTCCGCGACGCCGCCGCTTGGAACAGGCAGTCGGGACGGCGGTCTCGCTGACTCACCTGCAGCGGCCGCTGGGCCGGGGACAGCAGCTCTAGCAGCAGCGGGACCCGCGCGAGGCCGCCCAGCCGGGGCGTGTCCACAAGACCAAAGCACTCCTGACGCAACACACGGGGAGGGGGAAGAACGGGGTTTGGGGTGGCGCGCCGGTCTTCCCTGTGTGCCCCCATCCTGAAGCACCCAGCAGTGGGGTGCGGAACAAAGCTGAGAGGCGGTCCCAGTGCTGAGCCGGCCGCAGGTGCATCCAAGGTCCCCCTCTGGTTTTGGGAAACGTCAGCGTTGCGGCAGGCAGGTTGCGGCCGCCCTTCAACCCAGAGCCCAGAGAGAGGCAAGACGCACTGCAGGGACGCGGCGATTGCGGCGTGGCGCCCGCAGGCGTACCCGCTGCCGCGGCTCGCGGCCCGGCCGCACCTGCAGGCGGGCCCGTGCGGTGGGCTGCGACCTGGAGCCGTACTCGATGGGCACACGCGACCCCGTGGGCAGCGTCACATGGCTGGGTGCGTCCGCCTCCACGCGCTGCTGCTGCTCCCACGTCATCTGCAGGGTGAGCGGGACGTAAGGCATTGGGGTGGCCTCAATTGGGTGAGAGTGCGGACGTGCACACAAGCAACGATCGTGCTTTGAATGGGATGGAGTTTGGGGGATCAGGTGGTGGCGCCTCTGGTGCGTCCATTCACATGGATCGGCAGCGCGGATCGGCAGCGCGGCATCGCTGCCGCAGCAGCAACTCCCCAGCAAGCCCGACCTGGGGCCGTCAACCCATCGGCACGCAGCTGCCCGTATAACTGCGTGCATGCGGCGTCATCAAAAGCCCACCAGCCCCCTGATGACGGCGCCCCAGTCGAGCTTCGACAGCGCCGCCCGCCCCCTGACGCCGGCCGCGTACGGTGCCAGCCACGCGTGCAGGGAGCCGAGCAGCGCCCCCTCGGACAGGTCTGGCAGCGCGCTGGCGCCGAGGGCCGCCACCTCAGCGGCGCGCAGCCAGGCGGCGCGGTGGCGCCACGCCTCGACGGCGGGCGGGATGGGCAGGGAGGCCCAGCCCCCGTCCTGGAGGGCCTGCGGGCGGGGAGGCACCACATGTGTGTGTGTGTGTGTGTGTGTGTGTGCGCGCGCGTGCGCATGCTTTGGGAGGATGGCATGAGTCCACGATTGCTGGCATGGGCGCAAGCATGCTAGGCACAACTGCGCACGCCCCCACGCACACATAAAAACACGCAGGCGTGTGCACACACGTGCATACGTGCCTCGAGGTTAAAATCCAAAAAATGCACCATACACGATGCTGCCTCTCAGTTGGTCAAAAAATATGGTGTGTCCCAAGTCGGCAACCAAAACCGCGCATTGAAGGGTGCCGCTGCGGTTTCGGCCGCCCTATTGATGCCCGACAGTGACCCCCGCCTGTCAACAGCTTGCACAAGCAACTGAATGCATGCCTAGCTCGAATTGGTGTGTGACCAATCACAAATGGGGTGGCCAATGGCGTTGTATTACAAGGTAAGCTGGTGGGGTCCATGGTCAAACTCACCTTGAACAGCACCGGCAGCGCCCTGTCATCCCCCACCTCTGCAGGGGCCTCTGACAGCACCAGGCTGCCCAGCCGCGACTGGCGGCGCGCCAGCACGACCTGGGGGGTGAAGGATTTTGAGTGGTGGAGTGGTGGTTGTGGGTGTGGGTGGGACGCACAAGCGCCAGTCAGCAGCACACAGCGAGTGAGACTGCAGGAGCCGCAGCAACTGCGGTGACTGATTCGAGTCGGAACTCCCTTTGACAGCAGCGCGCTGCGGAGGCAGCAACAGGGCGCAGGCCCACGGCCGGGCGGGACCGAGCCCGGACGCTCGCAAGCAAACACTAGGTGTGAATCCGTCCGGCCACAAAGAGCGAGGAGCTTGGCGCCTCTCACTCGTGCGTGCGCACCTTGCTGGCCGGCGCCCAGAACACGGCCACCTCCTCTCGGATTTCGGATGCCAAGTGCGTCTTGATGGCCGACAGCGTCAGCGCCGCGCCGAGCCGCGCGGCGTCGTTGCGGCCGTCGCGGCCGCCGGAGAGCTCCGCGACCGCGATGTATTGGGCGTCCTTCAGGGGGTCGCCGGGGTCCAGGAGGCGCACGGGGCGGCCTGGGGTTCAGGATGAGTGTTTGTCGGCTTGTCGGCGCGCGACTGGGAGTGAATCAGCGAAATGCTTGCAGTTGTTGCGAAGGGAGTCCCTTGCGGCAGGGTGTGTGTGGATGTTTGGGGACGAGGCTTCAGCCAGGAAGCAGGGCAGCAGAAAAGGGCAATTCAGGGGTCTGTGCAGGTGTGTGCGAGTGATTTGGAAGGGGAGGCACCACGGGAACACAGCCCTTGCTCGGCGTCGGTGCCCAGTCGGCGCCCACGCAACAATGCAGGCGCAAGAGAACAGCACGAGCAGGAATCCGGGAGGACCCCGCCCCGCTCCGTTCGGGTCGCGCCTGCATTGACCGGTCAACGCCGACTCGACAAGCGCGCGTGCTGCAAAGGGTGCCGCCAAGCACGGCCCCTTTCCCATGCCCCAGCGCTCGTCGGCTTGGTACATGGCCGGACGGCCGGCCCCCACCTGAGCTGAGCACAAAGGTGGCGCGCCCCCCGCTGGACCCGGCGTCCCGCCGCTGCGCAATCCTGTCTGGGTAGGCGAGCGCCACCAGCGCCCCCACCAGCCCCCTCCTTAACGCTTGGTCCTGCCACGCCTCTGAGAACGCGCGCGCCCCGATCCCGACCCCGCCGGCGCCGGTGGCGATCGGATCCTTGGGGTCTGCGCCGGCGGGCTGCGGCCGCGCCTGTTCCTCAGACGCCGACCACTCTCCCTCATCCTCCCCCTCGTCCTCGCCTTCGCCGCCGCCGTCGCCGTCCGCGTCGCCGCCGGCGGGGTCGCTGTCGCTGTCGGCCGCGGCCGCCGTGGAGGCCGCCGCGGCGCGCAGCTGCCGCAGCAGCTGCCGCGCGCCCTGCAGGACTCGCTGAGCGCCGGCGCGGTCGACGATGATAGGGCCTGCGCGGCGGTTGCATGTGCCCGGAAACATACAAGGGGTGGAGCAAGTGCTTGTACTGCCGGTTACTGCAGCCATCACGCCAAAGTCGCCAGGGATTGCGGAAAGTGTGTATTTGTGACACAATACAGTCGGCGGTGCAGTCAGCAATACAGAAGGCGCCACCCTCACCGTCTCCTGCAAGCGCGGACAGCCGGAGCGCAATGTCTGCAGACTGGGGACCGCCGCCGCCGCCGCCGGTTCCGCTGCCGCGCAGGATGTCTCTTTCGCTCAGCAGCGACGCCACAATGCACCCCAGTTCCTCACAGCCCAGGTCTCGGGACCTGTAAAGTGTGTGAGCAGGGCGGTCGTCGAATCGCTGGACTGTGACAGGGTTTTGATTGGGGTTTAGGGTCCGCCAATATAAGTGTTGGCCCCTGAAACCCTGCCCCAAAACTCAAATCCCCGGTGAAAGGGGGAAAGTCGCCATGATGGCGGGGGCAGCAGCGGGAGTGGACTCAAGGAATGAGCGTGCACAGTCGTCTACGACACTCAGAATTGATCTCTCAGCTCCGCACGGCTGGAACAAAGTATAAGCCTGTTCCCCAGAAGCCTCACAACCCTTGTTGTGAGGCAGCATTCACAGCCACAGACCCAAGAGCGCGCCGCGCGGTGAAGTACCTCGATGCACGATCGCAACCGACGCACCTGAGCACCAGGTGAGCAAATCGGGGGTGCAGCCCGAGCGCCGCCATCCGCCGCCCCCCCTCCGTCACGGCCCCCTTCTCGTCAACCGCCCCCAGGTCCCGCAGCAGCTGCCGGGCGACTTCCATGCGACCCGGGTCCGGCGCCTCCAGCCACGGCAGGGAGTCACCCGCGGGGTCGCCCCAGGCGGCGAGCTCGAGGGCGAGCGGCGCCAGGTCGGCGTCTGCAATCTCCGGCGCGGTTGACTCATCCAGGTCGTCGCTGGGGTCCCACAGGCGGTAGCAGACGCCTGGAGGTTTGAGGGTCCCAGGTTGTGAGCCATGAGGTTGTTTGTGGGATGCACGCGCAGGGAATGTGTGACGCTTGGTGAAGGGGTAGGAGATATTGCTGCGTAGCGCTACACGAAGGATGGAGCAGGCCGCTTTCATGCGCTCACTGCTGACACAGCGCCGCCGCTTCCTACTCAGCACAGCGACCGCTTCGCCGTCCAGAGCCCCGAAGAGAGCCGCTCCCCGCCCGCGCCCCCGCCCCGCGCCGCTCACCCGGCCCCGTGCGCCCCGCGCGGCCGCGCCGCTGGTCTGCCGACGCGACGCTGACGCGCTCGGTCCGCAGGCGGCTGAAACCGGAACCCTCGTCGAACACGGGGGCGCGGCGGAGGCCCGAGTCCACCACCACCCTCACGCCGTCAATCGTGATACTGCGGGCCGCCGTGGCGGGGCAGGGAGGGGCGGCGGAGCATGCAGCAGATACGAGCCGGGACGACAGCGTGCAGCTGTTGCCCGACTTGCAAAACAGAAAGGGCGCCTAGACGGGCACTCATACACCAAGCCAATGGCGGCAATGGGATGAGGTTTGCAGGCCGAAGAGCGCAGCCCGGCTGTCGCCAGAACCACGGTGTGACAAGCGGCCGCGGTCCCGCTTGGGCCCGGGCCCTGGCCCGCGTGATTGATGACCCACCTGGACTCTGCAATGGGGGTCGCGAGCACGACGCGGCGCGCGCCAGAGGGGCTTGGCCTGCGGCGGGTTGCGGCAGGGGGGGAGGGCGCACACGATGGCGCGCTGGAGTCTTGTGTCTCATCCACTCCTCTGCTGAACTGGGCACGCTTGCCCCCAGCGCCTTCTCCTCCCTGACAGCCCTCGACACTGCACCCCGCTCTGCCCTCACATCTCACCCCCCACACACTTTGCTGACACGGACCTCAGTTGTTCTGCAGCCCCTCCTCTGCCACTCAACCAACTTCTGCTTGCCTTCCCTAGCCTGTCACCCATGGACCCGAGCCTACCACGCATGGGCTTGACGGCCTGGCGGCCCTGCCTTCTGGCCTCACCAGCAAATACCACCCACTGTTGCCGCCCCCCAGCACTTCCGAAACCCTCAACGCCTGCACAAATCACGACTTGAACAGCACCACAGATCACAGATCACGGATTACGGATCACAGATCGCACCTGATGGCCTCATCCTGCTGCTCTGGCGCCAGGTTGCCGTGCAGCGGCAGGACCCTGACGCCGCGCGGCGCCTCCTCCCGCAGGAGCTGCTGCGCCTGGCGGATCTCGGCCACGCCAGGCAGGAACGCCTGCGCATTTGACAGGGAGTGAAGTGCAGAAATTGTTGAAGGGGTGGGTCCACACCAGCTGGCTCAGGGTGGCCCCGATGCACCAAACCAGCTGAACCTCTTCAGCCAGTCTCAAACAAGCCAGCGCTGATAGTACGCACCAGTTGCAAACATGAACGTGCAACAAGGGAAAGGTCAAGTTTGTGGAGGGGGATCTGAAGGGGCGGAAGGCGGGGGGCCACCCACCAAGACATCTCCTGCGTCGTGATCCAGCGCCCCGAGAATGGCGTCCGCCACCGCGCGTGCCAGCCGCCCGCCGTCCCGGCGCACTGCGTCCACGTTTGCAGGAGGGCGCGGCTGGGGCGGTCACGTGCAGCTGGGTGGGAAGGGGTGGGGGCCAGCAGCCCGAGGAAGGTAGCTGCGTGCACCATCGCCTGAACATCCCAAAAGCAACCGGCGGCCACGTAGTCTTGATTCTGGTGCCTCACCTGGCGCCCCGAGGTACACGGTAGTGACCGGGAAGCTGCGCCCCTCGCTGACGACGACGGGGACGGTCTGGCATTGTGGGGTTGGCGGGGGAGCGTGGCGCGGCGTCGCACCCCTTGCCGTGAGGTGCTCAAGCACGCAGCGGTGCACAGCTGCAAATCCATCCGCGTCAAAACCAGCGTCGCCCAGCTTTCGGCAGTCCCGGTCGCCCTCTGTCTCCTGTAACTCACACGGCCCCTCCATGCAGCCGCCCCGCTGCACCTGGCGCCTGTCACCGCTATCTGGGGCGGCCGCGGCCCCCTCCTCCTGGCATGATGTCATCAGCTCCTGGACGCCCTCCGCCAGGCCGCCGCCCAGGGTGGCTGACATCACCAGCAGCCTGGAGTTTATGTGTGATTGTGTGTGCATGTACATGTGGGCGGAGTGCATGCAGTACTTGTATGCAGGTATGTGAGTGCGTGTGTGTACGCGCGCGTGTGTGTGTGCTTTTGTGTGCGCGCACATGTATGTATGTGGGTGTGTGGATCCGCGAATGCATGCGTTTGGATGACGCGTGGGACATGCGTGGGTTTGTGTATGTGCATGCGCGCGTGACTGTGTGAGTCAGTTGTTGATGTACGTCAAGGACTCCATCTCCGCCATTCCCTGCAATTGTCAATGCTCCACGCGCTGATCTCCACAGCTCTCCAGGCCACGCCTACGTGTGACCAACAGCACAATCGCCCACCCCCCCTACACACACACACACCGCAGGTCTGGTCGCGTCCAGCGCTGGGCGTCAAGGCAGAGGGCCAGCGCCAGGTCAGCGTCGAGGTTGCGCTCGTGGAACTGCGAGGGGTTCGAGTGAAGAAGGAAGGGCAAGGGGTGATGGACGTGAGGGAAGAGGAGTGTGGGAGGCGGCCGCGGCGCAGAGTGGTGTGGGCGCGAGCTCAGGCGCGCCCCGCCGAGCGAGCTGCGGGCTGCTGTTGTTGTTTGGTACAAGGCGGAACAGTAGCGGCCTGTGTGCGCCCTGCATCGCCGCAGGCCGCTACGGGGATCAGGCGGCCGACGGCGACGCTGGCGGCCCAGTCGACCCAGCGCGCAACCCCCGCCCGCCCACACGCGCAAGGAAACACGCAGCTGGTGGGGCGCCGCCGGCCTGCAGGTCCCACCTCGTCCAAGATCACAGCACCGACGCCCTCCAGTGAGGGGTCCCCCTGCAGGCGCCGCAGCAGGATGCCCTCCGTCACAACCTCCACCCTGGTTGCAGAGCTGACCTGTCAGAAGAAACACGTGGGGAGCCGTGTGCGTTGCGGCGCGGCCCGGCTGGCATGGCGCACCCGCGCGGGGTCGCGGGTGGCGAAGCGGGAGCGGCGCGCGCGGAATAGGCTCATCTGCCGCGGCGCCGGCGGGGTGCGGCGCGGGGGCGGCGTCGCGCCGGCAGGGCGGGGGCGCTCGCGGGGCGCGCGGTCTGCAGCCTAGGCTGCCCCCTTCCCTCCGCGCCAA